CATAATCAAAATTTCAAAAATTCAACAAAAGGAGAGAATATTAAAGGAGTTTTTAAAGCAGCGAGTTACTTATAAAGGTGAACCTATGAGGATTACAAATCTCTCAGAATAACCATTAAAGACCAGGAGAGCATGAAATGATGTTTTTTCAAGGCATTAAAGAAGACAATTACCAACCTAGCTGTCTATACCATGTAAACTCAGCCTTCAAAATAAATGGAGAACACTTTCTATGACAAAGGAAGGACTCTTAAAGAAATACATCACCAGCAAATTGGCATCCAGAAAATCTCCAGGGGTACCCTACACAGGAACAGGGAGGCCACCAGTACCAAAAAGCCCAAAAGAAAGTGTGTACAGCAACTAATTGGGAGAGTAGACAAATAAAAGGGGGGGGGGAGCCCCAGTCATCATTGCAAAAATAATGCAGGGACAGGATTCATTATCGTACAATAATAACTTTATGTTGATGGCCTTAACTCACCAATCAAAAGTTATACTCTGGCAGATTAGATTAAAAAGCAAAATGCAATCTACTGCTTCCAGGAAACACATCTTATCTAAAAGGAAGCTGACAGACTAAGGGTAAAAGAATGAAAACTGATACTCCACACAACCAGGGCCTAAAGTAAGCAGGAGTAACAATTTCCTTTTCAGAGACAAATGACTTGAGGCCAAAACTCATCAGAATAGGGGGACCACCCACTTGGGTCCCTCTCCTGTCCTTGTATAGGACAGGAGCTTTCTTTCTCTCAATAAATATATTATGCTTGTAACCTCTGCTTGTTCCTAAAATTCACTATTTTTAGAGAACATGAACTTGTTCCAGGTACTTTTTAGGTTAGGAGATCACTTTTTCCCTATGTCATTTGGAGGTGATCCACCTGATATTAGTTTTTCCAGTATCAAAACTGGAGCTGAAAAAAAATTCTTTGGCCTGGGGAGATGGCTCAGTAGAATAAGGCACATGAGCCTGAGTTCAATCCCTGGTTCCGCAAAAAAAAAAAAAAAAAAAAAAAAAAAACTCATTAGAATAAACAAAGATGGTCACTACCTACTGGCAACTGAACAATTCAGCAAGAAGATATAACAATTATAAATATTTATGCATTGAATATTGGACAATAGCTATGCAGCCAACTTCATAAAACAAAAACTACTAGATGTTAAAAGACAGGTAGATCCCAGTACAATAAAGTTAAGGGACAAAAACAGTCCTCTCACACAATTAGATAGGTGAACCAGACAAAAAACTAGCAAAGAATATAGCCTCTAGTGGATGCAACTAGAGATTATACTCATAAGTGAAATAAACCAGACTCACATGTGTAAATATCATATTATCTCTGTAGTGTAATAAACCAAAAGAATCTAAATATGTACTGCTTCTAATGTCATATCAATTACTGCTATACTGTCTCTCAAATAAATGTTTGTTGAGGTTGGGGAAATGGCTCAGTAGAATAAGCATTTCCCTGGCAAGCACAAGGGCCTAAGTTCAATCCCCAGTTCTGCCAAAGAAAGCAGATGTTTGTTTTTTAAAAAAGGATAATAAATGAAAACAAAAGACAAGAAAAAAGTCATAAGACTGTCCTGTTACAATGCTGTATATGATTAGATTTCTAAATTTCTGTGTAAGAATATGTAATTGTTTATTCCAATTTTTAAATTTTTTTATTATTTAGTTTTTTTTTTCTTTTTTACTCACATTCTGTAGGGACTTAAAGTTTAACGTATCAATACTTGATGGAAAATACCTGTTCCATGTTATGTCTAAGATGTTTGATATTCAGACAGATAGTGAGAGTAAGCTCAACTGCCTATGTTATAGGGTAATAATATCATTAAGCTTCTCTTCTGGAGGGTTAACAACTTAAGTTTGCAGACCAAAAAATTAGAGAAAAAGAAGAGCTACAAAGATAGCCAACATTTTTGGCCCTAGTCCTTCAAGGTCAGTGAGAACTCAGGACATAAGAGAACCTGTACTATAATACCCTGTAACTCAGTGGTGTCCAAAATTTTCTGATCAAGGAGAATATGAGACCACAGAGGAAAGTGATCGACAATGTGTAATGCACCTAAGGAGAGTCAGTCACCTAGAGATAAAACATTCTCTCAGGCGTTCACAGAGAGCAAATTGGTCAAGCCATGGCCGTGACTCATCCACATGGCTGACACTGACAAACGATCTACAAACTGCAGTACAGGGTTTCAGGGTAAATCCTGAGGGGATTTGACTGACCTTACCAGATACAAAAGTTACATTTCTACTTATATGGGTCTTGCTTTATTTTGGTCTTAACCATCCAGCAGAAAAATATAAAAATGAGATATAAAAAGTAAAGCCATATTAATATGCTAAGTTGTAAAAGGCTCAAGTCAACAACTTCTGACATTGCCAGTTCTATAGATAACCCACTACTATCATGGACTATTGGACTATATTGGATTATTTTGCTGAATTAATGCACCTACAATATTTAAATGGCAATGGAATACCCATCTCTGACAAAACTGAACAGAAAAGGGGGATATAAATGAAGGACTATATTGTATCTGTTTATACAGTTTGGTTAGCATAGATATATAGCTACTTTTTCTTAATTCAATGAGATTTGTACTAATAGTATTTGGACAGGATTTCATGTCTGCATCTTGTACTATGAATAACCATTACAAAGACAACAATATGCAATGTATTAATTATTGTAACTGTCCTATTAACCTGTTTTGAAACTGTCTCATTATTGTCTCTCAATAAAATTAATAGAAAATAAAAAAGCATAAAAAAGCCCTAAAGAAGAAATAAAACCTGAAAGTTATAACAGATATAGTAAAATGAAAAGAAACAGAATTTAAGGATTAAACAATGAAGACAGAAAAAAAGGGGAAAAGATAGGAAAAAAGGTAGGGGGATAAAAATGCAAGTGGGGGCCGGGGAGATAGCTCAGTAGAATAAATGCTTGCCTGGCAAGCGCAGGGTCCTGAGTTCAATCCCTGGTTTAAAAAAAAGAAAGAAAGAAAGAAAGAAAGAAAGAAAGAAAGAAAGAAAGAAAGAAAGAAAGAAAGAAAGAAATGCAAGTATATATACAGGATGGCTGAGGTGATTATACTAAGAATTTCCATCAGTTTTTTGAAAACAGAAGTTAATGTGTAGAATTCTCACCTTGACTAACCCTGTAGGATGATATCTGCATCTAAGAAGCAATTATATTGAGGACAGCAATGTATAAGACAAAAGCCATGCCTGAATGCTTGTCATCTTGGTCTTCTAATTGTGCACCATTTCTAATGTCATATCAATCATTACTACATTCTTTTTAAAACAATTGTTTTAAAAAGGTAAGAGAAGAAGAAAAGAGAGACAAGAACAAAAATTTAAGGTTTCTCGAAAGCAAGTGGTAATATTCAATCATATGTCCAATCTTACATAACTATATCTGTCAATCTGAGCAACAGATTTGATGTTAAAAATAGGTAATGTATCAACCACTGTTAATCCACTATTCTTGTTTTGAAAATCTGTAACATATGTATTATTATATGTTACCCTGTTTCTTTGTTTCTGATTTTAGTTCTTGTTTTTGGGTATTACTCCTCAAAATAAAATAAAATACATTTAAAAAAATAATTAGCAAAGAAGTATCAAGAGAGTTAAGCCTCACTGTTGTGGGGTAGTTCCTTTAGAAATGGCTCGCCAATTAAACTTATTCTAGGTTCTTTCTGCTTTAGAGTATTGAATGAGACAAATATGATGCCAAAAGGTTTTATTTATTTTTTTTTAAGTGAAGCATCATAAGGGATAAGGGAAAAATCTTGGTTTACGGAGAAAACGGGCTAAACAAAAGAGAGGAAAGGGTAAAAGTACGTCTGGGTCAAGAAGACATCAAGCGGCTTACCAGGAAGAGGCACAGTAGTGGGCTCCTTATGGCATTTGTGTCCTTGTATGTTCTCCACACCTCATGGGAAACCAGGAAAAGTTTCACCTTCGGGGACCTGGAGACTCTCTGGCACTGTCCCAGGATCTTGTAATAGACAGGTCCCACTTATTTCCCCAGCCAGGTTTGCCCTACCTCCTATATCAACACCACTGAACAAATAGACTTAACTGGCATAGGCAGTGTTTCATTCGGTGACAAGAGAATACACATGTCTCAAAAAGAACTTTTTCCCCAACAGACTGTCTCTTACACCTTAAAGCATACTTTACCAAATACAAAAAAATCAAAATTGGATCGTCGTGGAATGAAATCAGAACTCAACAGCAAAAGAAGCAACAGAAATTCCACCAGCACGCAGGTTCAATAGTATCTTCATGACTGGTCAAAGGACCACAGGAAAAAGCAAGGAAAAGATAATAAAGTTGCTAGAATCAAATGACAGGAAGCATGACAGTGGGATACAATGAAAGCAGTTCTAAGAGGAGACTTCGTAGCAGTGAAGGCACATAGGTAGAAAATTGAGCAATCGCAAAGGAAGAATCTAGTGAGGCAGCTCAAGATCCTACAAAAGCAAGAACAATCATACCTGAAATTAATAGAAGGAAAGAAATTATAAAAATCAGAACAGAAATGGCACAGGTTAATTAAATATGAAGAATCAATCAATAAACATTAAGAAATAATTTAAAATACATAATTTGTACAAGCACCCTTCTGCTTTCCTCATTTTTTGCCATAAACCTGTTTCTATACTTATTTTAACCATTTAGTCCTTTTGGAAAAGGAAGCTAAGGCCTGCAGAGCCCACTAGTCCTTCTTTCCATCCTAACTCTGAAAGCCCTGTACTAACTAATGCCATATATTGAATATAAAAATGTAAAGTATGACATTCTTCTGATTCTTGAAGCCCCTTCCTTAATGGAACTTATCTTTCACTATTTGTTACAAGGTAGTGCTAAAGGGGGCTAGGGAGATGGCTCAGTGGAATAAGCACTTCCTTGGCAAGTGCAAGGGCCTGAGTTCAATCCCTGGTTCCGAAAAAAAAAAAAAAAAAAAAAAAAAAAAAGAAGAAAAAAGAAAAAGAAAAAAAAAAGTGCTAAAGGACAAATTTCAGTCCATTCTGCAGAATTTTGCTGCCCAGTTTTCTTCATATGTGATTGGACCCCACACTATATTTAAATGGTATTATATACTGAAGAACAACTATTTTGTTGTTTTGAAGCAAATCCATTATTCCACCTGCTTCTTTTCCAAAACAGGGCAAATAAATTGTGACAAGGAAGACTGGGCATGGTGGTACATGCCTGTAATCCCAGTGCTTGGGAAGCTGAAAACAGGAGGATCACTATGAGTCTGATCTACATAGTGAGACCCTGTAGACCCTGTAGACCATGTACTATAATACAAAGATAGATAGATAGATGCATAGATACACAGATAGATACATGGATACATAGATAGATAAAGATAAATAAATCGTGACAAGGATACAGTTGAAATAAGAGCCCTGTTCTAGGCATTTCTGGAAGGTTTTTAAGCACAAATATTTTGTGATGCTATGTATTGACACCACGGAGATAATTCATAAGAGGCACTTTAGGGTTCATGAAAGTCTAGGGAACTAGTAGGAATTGCTTCAGAGACTGTTAATGCCCCCTCCCAACCTTCCAGATTAAAAGAGATGGAACTGATGTGACAATTAAATGTCACATGTAGATTCCTGTGCTGTAAAGGGGTGTTGGCTGAAATACTGTAGCAAGAGCGTCTCCAGGTCCAACCCGCAGCCCACAGGTCAGACATGCCAAACTCACACCTGGGTATGGTTTTCCTCATTTGAATATTTGTATTGCAGCTGTTTGAGAGAATGTCTTTGATTGTCTTTACGTACATACTGAAGCATTAAGAGTTACAAACCATGTTTGTAACTTTTAAATAGCTCGCAAAATATTAACTTGGGTACAGGAGGGAAGAAAAGAGACTGATATGGAGGTGACAGGAAAAAATATGACAAAATGGGAATTCTAGAGAATTTGGATTAAATATGGGATTTTTTGTAATTGTATTTTCTGTAATTATTAGTACTTCTGAAATGATTTCAAAATAAAAAGTTAAAAAATTTAATAATCTTCCCAGAGAGTCAGAGAATCAAAAGCTCTGAGAATGTGCATTTTTTTTTTAAAAAAAGCTGGCAATTAAATGCCCCTACAAATCTTGAAAATACCTAACTCTTGTTTCAGTGTTCTCAGTTTGAAAGGGGACAAGATAGGTCAGGTAAATACAGAGGAAGGGTGGGGCTAGTAGTGTGAGCCTAAATCCTAGCACTCTGGGAGTCTGAAGCAGGAGGATTGGAGGCAATTGAGTGACCTCAGAAAACCCCATCTCAAAATTTAAAAAATCATAATAATTAAAAATGGCTGAGCTATAACTTAACTCGATGCAGAAGTCCAGTGTTTAAGCCCCAGTATCACCAATCCCCCAAAATGGGGCTCATAAATCTTGCATTTCCAGTTCTTAGACAGAAACTCCACTCTTCAAGTGGTTAACACACCTACATAAAAAGTGGAGCAGGATTTTGACCAAAAATTTAAAATAATAAAAGAGATAAATACAAAATGAAGGCAGAGAAACCAGGCTTTCTTGTGATATCCATTGGATATTAGCAGGTCATGTCATAACCCTTAAATATAGTCTGAAATTTGGAAACTTATGACATAAATAAACCTAAAGGGTGGAACAATCTCAATGTTAGAATGTTTTTGTTTCCCAAATGAATCTATAATCCCAGCCAAAAATAATCAAGTCAAAATCCCAGCAGAATTTTTTAAATTGAGAATATAACCCTAAAAGTTGCATGGAAATGCTAGAGACCTAGAATGATCAAAACCACTCTGGGGAAAAGAAAAGAACAAGAAGCACTAAAGAGGCAAGATCAGAGCACAACAAAACGGCTAGGCAAATGGGCATGACCTGTCACTCAAAGAGATTCAGGACAAGCAAAGAGACCCTGCACCTGGTACCCAATAAATGCTCCCTTCAATTCTCCTGACACAACATGAAGCAGGTTTCTGGTAGGACGGCCTAGCTCTGACCTCAGAATGGGAGTACAAAAGATGGCAGCCATTGGCCTTGTAGCCACTGCCTTCTTTCTCTGTGACCCACTCTACTTGGACAGTGTATTTTCTTTCCTATTTTAATGAATTCACACTCACTCTGCAAAGCACTTCTTTTCTTACTTTAATAAGTGTGAAACCGTGCTTGTTTCCTGTCCACCTCTTTGTTCAAGACACCAAAAGCCTAGAAAGAACACTTCCCTGGGAAACAGTACACAGCTCTCCAGTGCACAGATGACAGTAATACAGTGCAGTCTCGGAAATTATAAGCTACTGGCATCAAGCTTTAAAAATGTGAGCAACTATATTTTACGAGATACAGGACAAATGGCTTTTTAACAAAAAAAATGCAACTGGAACTGGATTATACATATGCCAAAAAAATGAATTTAGGCCCTTTACAATGTATAAAAATTAATCCATAATATATTATAGATATATGCACATAAAACCTAAGGCCATAAAACTTCTGGAAAAAAACTGGAGCAAATTTTATGACACTGGACTATGCACAGATTTCTTAGATATGACACCAAAGACAATCTACACAAAAACTAATAACTTAGACTTTCTCAAAATTAGAACCTACTGTTCAAAAATCAGTTAATGCTGGGCATGGTGGTGCAATCTGTAATCCCAGCACTTGAGAGGCTGAGGCAGGAGAATTGCCATGTGTTTGAGGCCAGCCTGGGCTACACAGTGAACTCAGTGAGAACCTGTCTCGAACCAAAAACCACAAAACAGAAACAAACAAAAACAACCAGGTAACAGTACGAAAATAAAACCTACATAGTAGAAAGCATATATGTGACATAGAATACACAAGGAACTCTCAAAACTAATAGGACAACAAGTTTTGCAGCCAAATAAGGCAAAATATTTAAACAGATACCTTCACAAAGAATATACAGATGACAATTAAGGCCAGGAAAAGATGTTCAGCATCATTAAGCACTGGAGAAATGCAAACTGAAGCACTGAGATGCTACTACACACCCAAGGAATTTCTAAAAATGAACAAGACTAATGTGTAGTGACAGAAAGCAGCTCAGAGGTCATCTGGAGAGGACATACAGGGAAGGAAAGGTATGAGCAAGCCTTTGGGGATGGTGGCTATGTGGACTGTTCTAATTGATACGATGGCTTTTAGGCATTATCTCTGTGCCGTGTGCCTGTCAATTGTATCTCCATAACTTCCATAAATAAATTTAGAAGCAGACCTACTTAGTAATAGCTCTTGGCTTCCCCATTTACCTTAAAACTTAAACTTCAGGGCCAGAGAGATAGCTCAGCAGAGTAAGCACATGCTTAGGCAAGCACAGGGCCTGGGGTTCAATCCCTGGCACCACATGCTGCACCAGCCCCACTCCTGTATTCCCAGCACTGGAGAGGCTGAAAACAGGAGGATCACTACGAATCTGAGCTGTGTAGTGAGACACTGTACCAAATACGTTAAAAAAACAAAAAACTTAAAACTTAAACTTTTTTTTTTTTTTTTTTTTGAGACAAGGTCTCACTATGAAATTGAGGTTAGCCTTTGTAGCCCAGGCTGGTCTTGAACTCCCAGTGATCCTTTTGCCTCTGCCTCTCAAGCGCTGGGATTACATGCATGCACCACCACATCCAGCTTACACTTCTTAAAAGTGTTAAAAATATTCTTAAAATTTGCTTTTTTTATAAGAAGTAAATATAATAGTCTTGACCATGGAGTTATAGGAAGAAGATGGTCAATAGATTTCTTTCTTTTTTCCAAAATTTTTTCTGTTCCAGTTAGCAGCTTAATGACCCACAAGCCATAAGTAATGTTTCAGTTTGTTGGTTATTAAAAGCATCTCTCCTAGAAAAATTGTCTGATGTCATAACTGAATTAAACATTTTGCTGTTTTTAAACATACTTCAAGTGCCCAT